TATATAATTATGCAACTATTTTGGTTTATGGTTTTGCTGTTGACAGTGTTCCGAGAACGAGGAATTGCAGAAGAAGGTGAAGCTTCTGGAGCAGCGGCTGGCATCTCTCTTCGCCGACAAATTACCATTGTCCTCTGAACAGGGCATATCTGAAGAATATTCTGACGAGTTAAGAAAAAAGGTTCAATATCAGGTAAATAACTATTGCTGGATTGTGTTCAGCTGTTTTATTTTCATTAGTAATATTTCCTCTTATATGATTCTGTGAAATATTAGCAACATGCTTCCTCCTGTTAAAGGAAAAGATTCGATCGACTTTAGCATAGTCCTTTGTCTTCCTTGCACCTGTAAACTGATCTTAGACTGAGTTGTGCTTATCTGTGCAAGAGACCGAGAATGAAAAACTAAAAGTAGAACAGGTGCAGCTTTCGGAGGAGAACAGTGGGTTGTGGGTCCAAAACCAAAAATTAATTGAAGAAGCTTCATATGCCAAAGTATTAGCGTCAGCTGCTGCTGTTGAGTTAAAGAATTTAGCTGGTGAGGTGACCAAGCTCTCGATACAGAATGCGAAACTGGAGAAGGAATTATTGGCTGCTCGAGAGTTGGCAAACACTAGAGGCTCTGCTAATCAGACTGTCAATGGTTTCAACCGCAAGTATATTGACAGCACGAGAGCTGGAAGAAAGGGGCTGCTCTCTGGCATCTCTCATGGCCTTTCTGGAGCAGCTGGTAATGGTTTCGAGTCGTGGAATCTTGATCTCGATGATCTAAAGATGGAACTGCAGGCTAGGAAACAACGGGAGGCAGCTCTTGAAGCTGCCCTAATTGAGAAGGAATTCATAGAAGATGAATACAGGAAAAGGGTTGAAGAAGCAAAGAAAAGGGAGGCATCTTTGGAGAATGATTTATCGAACATGTGGGTTCTTGTTGCTAAGTTGAAGAAAGAGGTAGCGGCTAACCCTGAGAGTAATACAGATAAGCAACATACCAATGGTATGGATAATGCCGAAGATCCAAAAGCAAACAACACTGAAAGTAACAATGTCCTCAAAGAGCGACAAGTTTCAGAATTTTCATCAAAACCAGCCAATGAAATGCCCAAGGAAGAACCCCTCGTTGTTCGACTGAAGTTCTTTAACAAGAGAGATGTGAACTTGATTACGTTTCATAGCGGGGGACATTGTACCCAAATCGACTACGTCCTAGTTCGCAATCGGGATCGATGGGCTTGCATTGATTGTAAGGTGTTCCCCGAAGATGTATGTGCATCACAACACAGATTGTTGGTTTTGGTGTTCCGCGTACGCCACGGGCGGAGCAATCATAGGAGGGCTAAACTTGGTAAACCTAGGATCCTTTGAAAGAACTTACATGGAGCGACAACTGATGACTTTAGGAGTAAGGTTTTGGCTAATACAGGTTTTGGAACTACAAACGCAAATAATGTAGATATGTTATGGAAAAATATGGCAAATTCATCAGAGAGGTGGGTAAAAACACCCTTGGGTTGTCGACAGGTAAGGTCAAGGAACATAAAGAATCGTGGTGGTGGAACGACGAAGTCCAAACTAAGGTGAAGACAAAGCAAACTTGCTTCAAGGAGTTCTTACAATGCGATAACGACGAAGAAAGATCGAGAGCTAAGCAAAGATACAAGGAGTCAAAGGGGGAAGCCAAGAAAATAGTGGCTAAAGCAAAGGATAAGGCATATGAGGAAATGTACAAGAGATTAGACACCAAGGAAGGACAAAATGCCATCTTCAGACTTGCAAAATCCAGGGAAAATAGGAAAAATGATATAGGTAGCATTAGGTTTATTAAGGACAACAATGGTGTTCTTTTAGTGAAAGATCATGATATTAAGAGGTTTGGGATAGTTACTTCTTTGGCTTATTTAATGACAGTGCCTCTACCTGAGAGATAGTACCGTTGATGGGTCAATCGACCTACTACGGCCAATGACTGCCCTACAAGTAGGATTGGGTTTGAGGAAGTCAAAATGGCTCTTAGAAAGATGGGGAGGGACAAAGCTGTAGGTCCAGATCAAATTCTTATCACTGTGTGGTTGGCCCTAGGCGAAGAGGGAGTTAAGTGGTTGACCAACATCTTTAATATTATTTTAGAGACTGCCAAGATGCCAGAGGAGTGGAGAGAGTCTACGGTGATACCAATCTATAAGAATAAAGGAGATCCCCAACATTGTGAAAACTACAGAGGTATTAAACTACTCAGCCATACCATGAAGTTATGGGAAAGGGTGATAGAGGCTATGTTGAGACAGGTTACTAGGGTTTCGGAAAACCAATTTGACTTTATGCCAGGAAGGTCTACTACGGAGGCGATTCATCTAGTTTGACGACTTATGGAGAAGTATAGGGTAAAAATAGAGATCTTCACATGGCGTTCATTGACCTTGAGAAGGCGTATGATAGCGTTCCCCACGATACAATCTGGAAGACCTTGGAGACGAGACGGATCCCAACTGCATATATCCGGGTGATTCGTGATATGTACTGTAGATCTACTACTTACGTCAGGACTACAGTTGGCGACACCGAGGCATTCCCAGTGGAAATCGGACTCTACCAGGGGTCTGCTCTTAGCCCTTACATCTTTGCCTTGATTATGGACGACATCTTTTGTGCGACACCAGACGGTGTTCCATGGTGTATGCTTTTCGCAGACGACATTGTCCTAACTGAGCTGAATAGTAGACTGACTACCTGAAAGACTGCTATGAAAGAAAAAGGTCTAAGGATCAATATTGAAAAGACAGAGTATTTATGTTCAAACTTCAGTGGGAACCAAAACGATGAAGATGTAGAAGTATGCATAGAAGGTCACGTTCTCCCTTCAAAGGATTGTTTCAAGTACCTAGGGTCTATGATACATAAAGATGGGGGTGTAGATGATGACGTTACAAACTGTATGAAGGCAGGATGACTAAAGTGGAGGGCTGCTACTAGTGTTTTGTGTGATAAGAAGGTGCCTCTAAAACTTAAGGGGAATTTTTATAGAATGACTATAAGACCAGCGCTGCTGTATGGATCAGAATGTTGGGTAATCAAGAAGGATCACGTAAGGAGGATGGAAGCCGCAAAAATTAGAATTCTACGATGGGCATGTGGTAAGACTCTGTGGGACATGACACCAAACTCTGCTATTAGGATGTCCTTGGGGGTGGTGCATGTATCCGAAAAATTGAGGGAGAGAAAACTACGGTGGTTTGGACATGTCCTTAGGCGACAACTGTCGGATGCGGTCAGGAGGGTAGAGTCACTTACAGTCGCCGGTGTTAGAAGGAGAGGACGACCAAGGCGGAAGTGGGAAGACTGCTTGAGATCTGATTTGAAGGATTTAGCCCTTACCGAGGACATGACTTCTGATAGGAAAGTATGGAGACTTAAGACCAGGGTAGTCGAGTAGTGCGGGTCACAGCCATAGGGTGTATCATCTCTGTCTCCTTTTTAATGCCTTTGTAGTAATTTCCATGACTTCTACTGTATATACGTTTATGTCATTGGAAAGTATGAAGGCTTTAGACTAGGGTAACAGAGTAGTGTGGCCTTAGTTTAGTTCTTAACCCATTTGACTTTATTCCTTCTCGTAGCTTGCTATCGTTGATTTCTGTGTATCATTTTTCTCTTCAGGTTTCCTCTTTTTAAATTTAGATGGATCTTACGTTTCTGTCTAGATGTAAAGATTTTTACACAGGTATTTATTTGAACAGATTAATTTCCATTACAGGCGTGCATATGAAAATTATATATGAAGACTGTTCAACTATTTATTTATTTATTTATTTATACATGCATTGCATTTCATCTTTATTTTTAATTTTCTGACTACCGGAGGTCTTCCACGGAAGTTGCACTCAACCTGGTGTTGGGGACAGTCTACTACCCTACCTCCCTTATCCCATTGTATATGGGAATAGGGTTTGTTGTTGTTGTTCAGTCATGCCATGCAGTTCAGAAATCTGGAAGTACAACGTGCATTATCGAACAATATTACTAATATTGGTAGGCTTAGGAGCTTGTGGTCAATTATTCCATGGCCATAATTACGTCATTTCTGGATGTTAATGGTTTTACGTAGAGCACTTCAACTGAATGTCTTCAATATTTACAGGCCCGAATGCAAGAGATGAAGGAGAAAGAGCTCAAATCCCTGGGAAATGGAGATGCCAATTCCCATATGTGCAAAGTATGTTTTGAGTCACCAACTGAGCAATTCTTCTCCCCTGTCGGCGTTTTCGTTGTAAGTCACTTTCTATGCCATAAATGATACCCCATACCTTAATCAACTGTTTTCTGAAAATGCATATGTTTTGATTTTTGCAGTATGTAAATCTTGTTCGCTTGCTTGTTCCGAGTGTCCGATATGTCTCACGAAGATATCGGACAGACTTTACGCATTCCCGTCTTGATACAATTATTTCAACCCTCCTTAGAAGGTCGTGTATATTTCTCCTTTTTTTTATAGTATCTCACACTGGATCTTCTATTCCGAGATGAATTATATCGAACCAAGATAAGTCTGATGACTCCCACCACAGGAAAAGCTGTTCAGATCATGAAATGTTGACACTGTTTTTGAACTATTTGCAGGGGTTCGTGATCACCTGTTTCATATTTTCAATGTGAGAAGTGGGTGCAATTCTTTCATTAGATTGTCTGTAATGTAGCTGTTCAACAAAGGTAGATGAATATCAACAGTTTTTCCCTAATGAATGGTTGTAAAAGAGCACTACATTGATCTAATGACAAACGGATTGAGCAAACATCCCCATAAATATTCTCCCTCCCCAGCTGTTTTGGAGTTCTTAAAAGAGGAACCAAAAAAAGAAAAACTTCAGCGTCCCACTTCCATCCACGGGCAAAATTATTTTGAAAGTCTCCTCCCTTCGGTGGTAAATAACTGGTCAAAAATCTGTAAGAAATCACAAAAACAAACATTTTTGAAAAAAAGGGTTAATCAAAAGCTAAAAATTGTGTTCTTTAAACTCGATTCAATATGTAAACCTTACAGACACCTCCAGATGAAGGCTCGGGAAAACCATCCACATGCCAACCCGGTAACGTCTCCATCAAGAAATCCGAGACACTGCTGGTTGAAATCGAAGCATTATCTTCAACCCTGTAAGTCCTTGAAGTTGAAGCCAATGGATGATTCTCAATGGAAGGCGAACCCAAGTTTTCATTATTATGAACTGACAAAAGGAATCTATTGGAAGAGTGGGATGAAGAGCTTTTAGTGTCGGCGTCGATGGTTGCAGCATTAGAGGATGACGAAGTTGGATTCAAAGGAAGTGAAGAAGTTGAAGAGGAGAGCTTAACACCAGTGAGGAGGAACCTGCTATGTTTCTGGGTATTTTCATTGGCTCTGTGAATTGAAAGGTCACATTCTCTACAGAAGATTGCCCTGTCTTCTTGACAAAAAAGAAACGCTCGTCTCACCTGCAAGATTTAATATAGCAATACTTTAAACCCGAGTATAGGTTGAAAATCTTTCTTAGTCGTCATCGATAACATATAAACCTAAAATAAGAACAACATTCTTTTCTTACCTCTGGAATCAGTGGTGGAGCCCCGACTTGATCACCCTAAAACCTGAATATTCTTTGAATAGTTATTTATTTTACTGATAGTGTCCGCCTTAAAATTTTTCGTGCCAACCTTGAAATATAAATTTTCTTCGATTAGTTACTTATTTTACATACGGGATCGTGTCCACCCTGAAATTTTATTTGTACTCGTTCTATTTAAAAAATTTATGTTGTTGAAAAATATTTCTAGATCCCCCAAGTCACTTGATAAATTCAAATCTAACATCTCATTTTATTTTATTAGACCAATTGATAATTAGTTAAAATATTCTAATTTAATCTTTAAAATATCAATACAAGAATATTAACTTAAACCTTTTGTCATTCTAACTGCCAGTTAACTAAGACATAAAATGTAAATATTCATAAATCAAATTTAAAATATTAGACTTACTATATAAATAATTAAATCTCACAAGCTAAACAAAAGTCAGATAGAAGAACTATTTTTGGTCATTAGACTGAACTGACTTTTAACGTTCAAAGTAACAACTAGGTTAGTACGATGAATGAATATGATAATGATATTGTAAAGATCAAATTAAAATATATTTAAGTTTTGTGACCATTTAAAACCCAGGACATAATTTGGGGACTTACAACAGAATGATCCCATTTTGCCAAAACTTTTTTTTTTTGAGATATTTTGTCAAAAGTTAAAAGAGGGGAAAAAGGTGAGGATATTACCTGACAGATATCACAGAGGGGAGATTGTTTGAAAGAAGGGTGAAGAAGAGAGAAACGAGAGTGTTTGGAAGCAAGCTTGTTTGCATGGTGGACTCGACGATCACAGTCTCCACAAAGAGCAGCTTCATCTGCACAGCAAAACACAATGGCTTCTTCTTTGTCGCACACATCACACCATATCTTCATCTCCCTCTCTCTCTCCAGCTCTGCTCCTGAGATGTTCGTGAGGTTCGATTTAAAAATATCTGATACAGACAAAAGTATTATGGCCATATGGAGGCGGGCAATGATTTTAACCCCCAAGTTCAAGATACATTTTTTTAATGAATATGTTAGAAACATCTCTATATTCTCATGTGATTTATTTATTATAAAGTGTCCTTTTCATATTATATTTTTATTTTTTATAATTAATTCAATATTTGATTTATTAGTTGATTAATTAAAATTTGAGTAGTTTAAATTTTGAGAATAGTGTGAGCAACAAATTTTTTTTTTAGAAAAAATAGGAGTGTTGGAGAATTATTTTGGGATATAGATCATTTGTTACCGTGTACGTGAAACTTATCACAAGGAGATGACGAGTTCCATAAATTATATTAAAAGAATAAAACTCGACATATAAATTAAAATAAAATTGTATGAAACTCGTCACCCCTCATAATGAATTCTTAATACGTTTTATGAATCGTCACGATGCATTTTGACCAAATGGCATAGATCCCAAAAAATTTCTCAAACACTCATATTTTTCAAAAGAAATTCCCTCTCACAATATTTAGCAAACTAAGTCGTTTTGAGTATAGTAGATATCCAATTAGAAAAAGAGTATTTTAGATATTTAAGAAATTGAACTTTCACTTAGATTTTTAAAATTAATGGATATGTTATAAATTAGGGACGACAACCGGTTAAGTTGAGTTGAAATTTTTATTGACTTGAACTTAATATGAGAATCATACTCCACACCTGACAATTGATTATATTCGAGTTTAAGAAAATTTCATTTGATTCGAAATTCAATCTAAATTTTAGGATAAAATCTTATTCGATTAGACTCAAATACAAAAAAAATTCATTTTTACTCAATAAAATAAGGATTTAATTGAATCTAATACTAGCATTATTTATGTGAATCTGGATTCCATTTCAGTTCTTGTCTCCTCCTTCAAGACGATCCACGTGTTGAGCACAGGAAGACAGTGTCTAAAATTACTATAGGGTAGGTAGGTGGAAATGAGGACTCCAAAATATGGAAATATATACCATATTCTGTACAGGCAGCTCTCCTGATTCACCCTAGATATGGTCTGTCTATATAGAAGATATGTCTGGTTAATCTTTTATTTTATACTCATCTTCCGTGTTATCATGTAATCTACTTTTGTGGCGGAATCAAAATGAATTTAATGAACCGATAATGGCTCCTCTTCAACTTTGGTTTTTTCCCCCTCTTCTAAAACATTTCTTTAAAGTTTATAATTGATAAAAATATGTAAAAATATATTTTAAAAATCTTTAAACAAGTAGTTTTCAAATATATGTTTTATATAACACCCTTATCCCGTATACGATCTTATATGAGATAGAAGTGTCACATCAATCGTATGCAACATACGCTCTTTAAAAATTGGTAAAATTTTATTTCATTTAAAATAGACATTAAAAAAAATTAATTGCATTTAAGAAACTGTAATGTAAAATATTTAAACTAACCTTAACTCCAATAATTGCCATCATCGCAATTTCGATAGTAATTATCAATTGAAACTAACCTTAACTCCAATAAGATAACCTTTCCAATCCCTAAATTATCAATTATCACAAGAATTCACCGAACATTTCGAAACTTCACCTTTAACCACCATTCCACTTTTCTTTAATATCAAACCCATCATTTTCTAAATTGCTCAAACTAGTCCCTTAACATTACTTTAATCCATTTCAATCATCACCAACCTTACACAAAAACTGGTGCTCCACTAGACATGCGTCCAGCGCCTAATTCACGCGCAACAACTCCAAATTTTTAATTGAAAAAACCAACATGCCAATCGTGCAATATATATATATATATTTAAAGCAATACAAATTGGCAGTAACCACACCTAGATTTAAAGTTCAAATATCCAACTTTGCAATTAACAATCTAAACTTTAAAACTCAACCATGGCCAAATACTTTGAAATTCCTAACCTAATGGTCTCCTATTTAATCCGATCACAATTTAGTCATCAACATACTATTTCCAATTAATTTCCATAAATTCCAAAACCAAATTCAACCAATTTCTCACTCCCCAAGCTTATGCCCGAACACTTCACTATTATTTTAAAAAAACTTCAACCCAATTTCATATTGATATATTGTTCTAGAACACTCCTAACACTCATTTCTAACTTTAATTCAATAAATTTCTTTGAATTCATGTATGCCCTTCATCCACATAAATCACCCACTACAACCATTCAAGCATGAAACCAATAATTAGTTGCACCATCTTGTATAGAAAATAGTGTAGGTGAATTTCTTATTTCACGATTTAGTCCCAAAATTCACTAAATTTAATCAAAAATGAAAGAGAAAAGTTGGCTCGCCTTGGCTATGGGTTTCGACAGCCCGCCGGAGAAGAAGAGAAAATCTCACGAAAATTCTTAAGAAAAATCTCCCTAATTTGACTTTTAAAATTAATAAAATAATTTTTTATTCATTTTAGGCCAAAAACCCAAATTGCCATTAATGAATTCCCATTTTTACTTCCATGCCACTCCTTCATCTCTATTTTAATATTATTAATTAACCATAAAAATATCATCTTCTAATTTTATAAATTTTCAATTTAGTCACTATATTTCACTATTGCACTTTATAGTGCAATTCTCACCAAATTCCATCAATTCGGCTTAAATTTTACTAATTAAAAATATTCATATAATTTTTCTAACCCAAAACTACATTCCTTCAAATTTTTTTATACTCATGATTCGATTCGGTTATCCGAGTATTATACCAATCTTCATCTTTTAATAGACTTTTATGTAAACTCCAGATAAAAAATATGAAACCACTAAAATAATTATCTTAGGCTGAACTACTTATTTACAAACCCAAAATATAACTTTTAAAATTTTACATTTTTAATCTTTGTATTTTCACAACTTTATACTTTAGTCCTAAACTTTTAAATTTTTACATTCCAATCATTAGTCCAAAATTTGGGATATTAAGTTTTAAAAATCAATAGGGGACGGTTTTTTATGGGGCGGAGGGAGTATTAATTAACATGCAAGATTATTGTGTAAAACAAAAAAAATATGATATCGAATTTATTTTTAATATCCGATAAAATAATTATATTAATTCTTATTTTTTTATACATTTTAATCTTTAAATTTTATCTTGAATTAAAATATCTCTGATTTAATAAGAATTGTTAGTTGACTTAATGGTTAACACTTGTTATTAACATTGCAAGTTTTATGTATTCGAAATAATGATGTGGCATTATGATACGCCGTCACTTATGTATTTGTGATTTGTGTAATGTTATCACTTATATACACATGTCATCACATATGTATATATGATATGAATCACGTCATCACTTATGTACACGTACGTGGCATATGATACGACACTACTTATGTACATGTGATTTGTGTTATGTTATCACTTATATAATCATGTCATCACGTATGTATATGTGATATGAGTCACGTCATCACTTATGTACACGTGAAATGTGTTATATCATCACTTTGGACCCATAATTTAGCACATCAACAACAAATGTTGATTATTAATCAATTAAAGATTCTTATTCAGTCATAAATTATTTTATTTTGAAATAAAACGTTGAAAATTAAAATGTTTTTTAAAACATTAGAGATTAAAATAATTATTTTATCGAACATTATTTTTTGATTTTATGCCGAATTGTAATCTAAATAGTTTATGAACCAATTTACAGGCAAGAAGAAGATTAGAGGGCGTGGGTGCCTGCTTAATTCACAAGGAGTTGTGGTTGGCATTGAAGACCATCATCTATTACTTAACTCGGACTCTTGTAGGGAATGGATAGAATTTAGGTGAGTTAAAATCCCTTGGTGATAAGGATATAAAATACCAATTTTTTTTATCAAGTTAGGATGGGACAAAACACCACTAGAAAAGTACGGTGTAACAATCATTTAATTTAAGATTAAATAAAGATATAAAATTAACATAATAAAAAATATGATTAAAAGTAAAATATTTTATATTTGACGTAACTTAAAATGTTAATTTTTTAATATTTTTAGTTAAATCAAAAATATTATTTTATTCATAATTTAAAATATTTTTTTATTTTTTTATAATTTTTAATCAAAAATACTAAAAAATTAATATTTTAAATTACATTAAACTTAAAATATTATATTTTTTTTTATCTCATTTTCAATTGCGTTTATTTCATGTCGTTCTTCGATCTTGAATTAAACGGTTACACATCATAACTTCCCAAACACCACCCTTCATTGAAGGGTTCTTTTAGTTTCTGTTTATTTCAATTTGAATTTTTCTGTTTGTTGGCAGAACCTTCTGCCGACTTCAACTCTTGCTTATTTTAATATATCGGGAAAAGTACACTGAAGGTATGAACTATGTTTAAATATTTGTTTTGATCATTTAATTTTTTTAAATTATGAAATGGTTATTAAATTTATCGAATTACAAATAATTATTGCAATGCTATTGTAAGTAGTTAAAGGTTTGTTTATTTCATTGAAAATATTTACTGGAAAATGATGTATGGAAAAAGAAATATATTTTCTAAAAAAACAATTTTCAAAAATCACTTTTTTGATGTTTAGATGATGATAACTTATTACAAGAGATTAAAATGAAGAAGAAAATGCAAATAGAGGAACCTGAGACTAATCCTATTTGGATTGAATTTTCGGTTTTTGGCCCATTAGGGCATTTGGATTTTTTATTTAGCCCATTAGGACACTCGGATTTTATTTTAGATAATACGACAAATGCTACAGTGGATTTAGAATTCCATGGGATATATTATTTTTATTGAATCCAGATGAGTGGTCCTATGTGAGCCATTATTTTAATATAATTAATAGTACTCGTCTCCTCGAGGTGACGAGTTCATTTAATTTTTTTTTAAAATTATTTGTAAAATTATTCAAAAAAATTGCAAAAAAAAAATTAAAGAAAAATTAATGGAACTCATAGAGTTCCTTGAATTCAAAAAAAGTATTCGTTTACCAACGGACAACAACAACGGTCACAATGAAACTCGTCACCTCGAGGAAACTTCGTCTCGGTTATTTTAGTATATCTTTTTTAGTAGCACCCCGACAACTTCATCTCGGTTATTTTAGGTCGCCATCTAAAAAATATAAAAAATAAACACGATTAAAAACATATTAAAAATTAGTTACCTTGAAGCCAGAGGAAAATCAACCGAGGCTACTGTAATTGGCGTAAAATATGGGAATCGATACCAAGCCCACGATTGTAGCAATATTAGACAGCCTATTACATCAACCTTTTGATCCCTCTCGACGATTGCATCCTTGCAAAACTCCCGGTATAAAAAGGCTAAAATCGCCGAGCCCCAACTGATATTACGACACTCAACGAAATTATTTAATATAGGCAGATATTGAGTGTGCGCCAAATTATCGGATTTATCTGGTAATAATACCCCTCCGTCCAGTTGGAGAAGATATGCTCAGGATGCAAAAATAACCTCTTCTTTGGTAAAGTCGTTCGTTACTTGAAATTCAGACTCCAACCTTGAAATTCAGACTCCAACCACGTCATCCGTATCTCATACCCATTTAAGATCTCAGATAGTGGCATCCTTCTTAAAACTTTGTAGACAATACTGATGGAGTTGTAATATTTCTACCTTACGACGACCGTAATACCCCAAATTTTGGTTAGTGACCAAATATAAAATTTGGAAAAGTTTAGCGTCCAAAGTGGTAATTTCCCCAAAAAGAAATTTTATTCTATAAATGAATAGTTCACCCCCAAGAATGACGTTTTGGTGGTAATCAAATTCTTGATCCAGAATTTGTGTTAAAAGCTAGAAAGTGTTAAAGTCTAGTAAAAGTTTTATAAATCAGACCGAATAGAAATTTTAAGAAAATTTGAAGGATATTAAATTAAACTTAGAAATATTATTTCCACATTTTAAAATGATGGAAAATAATTTAGATCATTGGATTTGAGAATTTATTTTCATGTTCAATTTGGACTGTTGGATGAAAATGGTAAAATTGAAGTTTTTGGAAAAGAGCATGGGTAAGTTGAAAAGGGTAAATTATGTTGTTCATCTTTGACTTTGGGAAGATGATAAGTGTTATGTGACTTGTTATAGATGTAATTATCAAGATTCATTAATGGTAAAATTGTCATTTCTCAATTAAATGATTTTTAAATTCATTTAAGCTTAATAATGACAAATTAACATGAAATTAACTAGAAATTTCATGCAAACTTGGTCTCCATCATCCTCCATTGCTGTGAACTTCAAACCCTAGGTAAGAGAAAGTTTTTTTTGAGCAATTTCCTTTGGTTTTTGGATTAAGACGTGAAACAGAAAAGTATTTTATTCGATGAGCTCTATCATTTGGTACCAATATTGCATGCTAATCTTGCTTGAGTTCAAAGATTTCAAATTCTAAGGTTTATTTTCTTGCTAGGGGTTAAGGAGATGATGTTGGATTTTGAGGTTTTTGAGGTTGTAGAATCATTTCCTAGCTTGTTTGATGATTAAAACATCTATGCATACTTATAGTAAGTTAGGCCTAAACCCTAGTTTGGGGGAAAAAATTATTTTTTTTGATGAAATTAAGTTAGGGATTTAATTGTAGAGGTTTTGAAATGATGATTAGAGGTTGATTTCATGCTTGAATCAATTGAAAATCAAGGTAATTTAACTCTTATATGCTTCAACGGGTTTAGATTGGGGGGAAATTGTGAAAACATTCTCATGGCTTAGAAATGATATTTGAAAGGTTCTACAAGTATTAGAAAATTTTTGAGACCATTTTGTAATTTCAAAAGTTGGGGACCTTTTTGATAATTTTGAAAAGTTATGGGGCAAATGTGTAATTACCCAATAGTTGATGTACATTGCTGGAATTTTGAAGTTGATGTTAGAATGTGAAATTAGGCTATTTTGGAAAGTTAACAAAGTTTGAGCATCAAATGGTAAATATTGATAAAGTTAGTGACTTAAGTGGTAATAATGGCATTGTTGACGCATTGGACTGGAAATTAAATGCTGGAATTTTATTTGAGCTATTTGGGACTTGAAATGAAGAAGTAATGGCAAGGGACCATTATAAGTAAAAAGGAAAAGTTAAGATGAATTATAGAAGAATTTGAAAATAGTAGTATTTTTTAGTATTATTATTGTGCTTAAAATGTTAGTAAGAATACTAACATGTATTTTATATTTGTATGTACTATACATTGATGCTTGTGTGGATCATGATCAAACTCGATACAAGCAAATCAAAAGGCAATGAAAAAGTCCAAAAATAATCGGATATCGATTGTACGGCATACCAGGTGAATGCATTTTATTATGTACTTATATGATATGAGGAAGACTTGCGATGAGTCAACCTCGAGTGTTTTACTAAACATGTTTTTTAACGCATTTTTATTTTCATAAATTTTTATGAAAATGATTTTTATTGAATGATTTTAGGGTATGAACTGCCCTAAAACAAATGGATGTGTTTCACACTATTTATCATCTATTGATGTTTTAGAATAAATCTTTAATCTACGATTTGGATATAATATCATATTGTATGTACATTGAGAGTCATAGGTGCAATTGTAAAACTTTGAATAAGGTGGTTATCGATCGATTTTGTTTAATGCATTATTGCGTTCTTGTAGTAGTACATTTGTTGTACTATGGCACTAAGGGTACAAGGATGGTGTTCATAATGAATTACCACTCCACAATTGTTAGTATAGTGTCGATGTCTACTACAATACATATACATCATTGTAGCACTTAGGTGTTAATTGTGTACCTTGCATTCTCATATGCCATACATTGGGTTGTTAATGGACTTTTGAATACATTGATTGATAATTATGGTATGCATATAAAAATAAATATTTCGCAGGTTATGTGACAAAAACTTGGCTTATCAAGTTAGTTTTATGCGTTTATATATTTTATACAAATTAAATCGTGTTTTGATCTCTTACGATTACTTATGTTTTTATTATGCCTTACTAAAAAAATACTTAGAGTGTGATTGTTTAACACGTAGGTTATAGCATATTATTGAAGTGAGGAGTGCAACTGATATCGTCTGCCAAGGGTTACCTCATCAGTAATAGTACGACATCTTTAGATGTTTATTTTGATATTACTAGTTGACATGTATTTTGTTATGATATGATGCTCTGATATGAATGTTTGAAATATACTTTTGTAGTATTATATTTATCAGCGAACTTAAACTACTATATGATAGATAATAATCATTATTTGATTATTAGTAGTTAAATGACATTTTATATACCTTATTATTAAATTATTTTGTTTAAAGAAACAAAATTTTACTATTTTTCAAATACGAAAACTATTTTAAAAGCATGTGACATCTTTGGCTCGTGTTCGGGGCCAGATACGAAAAAAGGGGTGTTACAACGACCACACCATTCACATGAACACCGATTTGGTAAGCGACGTCTTCCAAAGTAATTGTCGTTTCACCACTCGGGGAATGGAAAGTGTGTCTCGGGCCTCTAACATTAAATTAGAATCGAAATCAATGTCGGTTTCACCTTAAAGTCACATACAAATATGACTGGATATAGATCGGATTGCTGAAGATATATCATCATTCACTGATGCAAATCTCGAAGTCATTCTAGACGGAGTTCGGACGATGAAATATGAGCATTATCGAGGCGTAACATTTTTTCACGGGAAGCCATTTTTCAAGATTTCTTTTGAAGATACGAATTTTTCTCAAATTTGTTCATAACAAATGATGGTGAAAAACCTCGAGGTGACGAGTTCCATGCTGACCGTTGGTAACTGACCGTTGTTGTTGCCTATTGATCAACAACTAGTTTTTTTTTAATTCAAAGGAATTCGTCACCTCAAGGTGACGAGTTCCATTAATTTTTTTAAAAAAATAATTGTAAATTTTTTGAATAATTTTACAAATATTTTAGAAAAAATATTTTTAAAATAGACTCATCAACTCGAAGAGATGAGTCCCATTAATTACATTAAAATAACAGTTCACATGGGACCCACTCATCTGATTCCAGTAAAATAATATATCCCAAGGAACTCATCACCTCGAGCTGGCGAGTTCTAGCTCCACTGTAACATTTACCGTATTCTCCAAAATAAAAATCTGGATGTCCTAATGGGCTAAATAAAAAACCCGGATGCCCTAATGGGCCAAAAAGAAACCTTGAGTTTTCTTTTTCAAAGTTTGTATTGAATTCTGATGTGGTTTGGATAACAAAGAAAACCAATTATCCATTAGTCGGCCCAAAACGTCATTTGCCATCGTTACCAAACGATACACGGCCTAGTGTGTATGATTCTTCGTAGGTAAATAAAACTCGATTTTGAATTGTAATTTTATAAACTCAACTCGAAAAAAATTTAAAATTCAAATAAAATTTTAAAATGTAACTCGAATAAATCGAAATTTTTATAATTAAAAGATTTATTTTTAAGTTTAACGTGATTCCTTAGACTTTGTATGATATATATATATATATCTCACATATGAAAAAAATTCAGAAATATATTTATGTTGTATATATAATTATAAAAAATCATTTAAATTAAAATCAAGTAATATTATAAATATTTATAATTAAATTTAAAATAAAAACTCGAAAAATTAACTCAGCCTACCGCCGTTAAAATAGCAATATGCTTTTACCTCCGATGAAACGAAGTTGTTGCAATCCTGTGAAATGGAAAGGAAGGACGACTTTACGAAGTAACAAAGTAAACAATAAAAAAATGAAGTCGCTCAGATATTTAAAAAGAAAAGAGCAGGAGAGAATCGAAGAACTTCTCTTTCTCGTATAATCCCCAAAAACATTCAAAGACGATTCCATTTTTTTTCTTCTCGTTCTTAACATTGGATGTTGCATCAGATCTGAAGGTAGTTTCTTTCCAATTCTTTGTTCAATTACTAAATCCGATTCTTCTTGTTCGGTTCACGCTGTTAATATTTTTTCGATTTGGTTCGAATTTGCAGAGAATTGACAGGCAGAGAGGAAAAAAGAAGAAAAGAAAGAAAGAAAGATGTTGACAAAGTTTGAGACGAAGAGTAATAGAGTGAAAGGGCTGAGTTTCCACTCCAAGAGGCCGTGGATCTTAGCTAGTCTCCACAGTGGTGTTATCCAGTTATGGGACTATCGAATGGGCACTATGATTGATCGGTTCGACGAACATGATGGCCCTGTTCGCGGCGTCCATTTCCATATGTCTCAGCCTTTGTTTGTATCTGGAGGTTCAGATTTCAATTCCTTTAACATCGATTTTGATCTCCGCTTAATAAATCATATGGATTTAGTTACCTTAGTGATGTGTGGATTTAGATGTGAAATTTTAAATTGTAGTGGTTAGGTAGGATTGGATTAGCTTAAGTTTAGGAGCTCTTTTAATCTTAAATCTGCATGAAGTTTAAGGTATCTGATGCCTAGAAATGCCAGATCTAGGTTTTTAGAGATTCATGTAGTTGAACTTGTTTTATACCTTTTACGTCTGATGGTTTAAACAAATGAATGTTAACTGAAGCATGGATAGAATTATGTAGGATACATCTTTGTTTGGGTGAATGCATATACGGTGTGCATTTTATTCGGTGGTTTTACGTATTCTATGCATAGATGGTTTATACATCTGTTGTTGTTTTTTTTTAAAAAAAGTAGGGGGATAAATGAAATGTTTTATTTGACACTGCATATATTTATTGCTCCAAAGTGATGTTGTTGAGTTTTTTAATTTAAAGTTTCTGGAATTGGTTAACTTGGGCAAAAATAACCTGTCACAGGGCAGCCAGCGCTAGTATTTGCTAAAAAAATTTCTTTTGTGTCATGATTTTCTTTTTCAAAGCACGTGGTTCCTGTGCAATAGAAATTATACCAGAATTGATGGTTTTTTTTATGTTTTTTATAAAAAAGGGGATGACTACAAGATTAAAGTCTGGAACTACAAGTTGCATAGATGTCTTTTCACACTTCTTGGACATCTTGATTATATTCGTACTGTGCAATTTCATCATGAGCATCCATGGATTGTAAGTGCCAGTGATGATCAGACTATTCGCATTTGGAACTGGCAGTCACGAAATTGCATCTCAGTTTTGACTGGTCATAATCATTATGTTATGTGTGCGTCATTCCATCCTAAAGAAGACCTTGTTGTGTCGGCCTCCCTTGATCAGACTGTTCGAGTTTGGGATATTGGTTCCTTGAAAAAAAAGACTGCCTCCCCGGTTGATGACATTTTACGGCTGAGTCAGATGAACTCAGATCTTTTTGGTGGGGTTGATGCAATAGTTAAGTACGTATTGGAAGGTCATGACCGAGGAGTAAATTGGGCTGCATTTCATCCCACCCTACCTTTGATAGTATCTGGAGCAGATGATCGCCAAGTCAAATTGTGGCGTACGAATGGTAATTAATTTAAAGCCATGCATTATTCTCCAATTTATATTTCATTTGTTAGGCATATTGATTGTAGTTTTTTGTTAAGTACACTACTTGGCCTGTTAAATTCTTTATAAAAACTTATCTAATTATTTTATTTTCTTACGTTTGATGTATGTTACATGTCCTTTGATATTTTAGCCAAGCTACTTCAATTCTTATGATATATGTTTTTTGTAGCAGGAATTTAAACCCCTTGATTATTGTGGAGTTGACTATATTGTTTTTTTTAAAGTTTGATGTATGTTACCTGGCATTTGATATTTTAGCCAAGCTATCTCGACTTTTATAATATATTTTTTTTGTAGCAGGGAATTTAAACCCCGTGATTGTTGTGGAGTTGAGTAAATTGTTTATCTGTTTGCAGATACAAAGGCTTGGGAAGTGGATACCTTGAGAGGACACATGAATAATGTTTCATGTGTTATGTTCCATTCCAAACAAGACATTATTATATCTAATTCTGAGGATAAAAGCATTCGTGTGTGGGATGGAACAAAGCGAACTGGACTTCAAACTTTCCGTCGAGAACATGACAGATTTTGGATACTTGCTATTCATCCTGATTTGAATGTTTTAGCAGCTGGACATGACAGTGGCATGATTGTATTTAAGCTAGAGAGAGAGCGTCCTGCTTTTGCAGTGAGTGGTGATTCGCTGTTTTATGCCAAGGATCGTTTTCTTAAGTATTATGACTTTTCAAGTCAGAGAGAATCACAAGCAGTTACAATTCGACGGCCTGGTTCCACAACACTGAATCAAAGTCCAAGAACTCTTTCTTACAGTCCTACCGAAAATGCTGTTCTTATATGCTCGGATGTGGATGGAGGATCTTATGAGTTGTTTGTGATACCAAAAGACAACATTGGTAGGGGTGACAGTTCGCAGGAGGCAAAGAAAGGTCTGGGTAGTTCTGCTATATTTGTGGCCCGAAACCGGTTTGCTGTCCTTGACAAAGGAAACAACCAAGTTTTAATCAAGAATCTTAAAAATGAAGTGGTTAAAAAGAGCGGCCTACCAGTGCCTACGGATGCGATATTTTATGCTGGAACAGGTAATTTGTTGTGTAGGTCAGAGGATAGATTAGTAATATTTGATCTACAGCAGAGTATTGTTCTTGGTGATCTTCAAACCCCTTTTGTGAGGTATGTTGTTTGGTCTAATGACATGCAGAGTGTTGCTTTGCTCAGCAAGCATACCATTGTCATTGCTAACAAGAAGCTTGTGCACCAGTGCACTCTCAATGAGACAATACGTGTTAAGAGTGGAGCCTGGGATGACAATGGCGTTTTCATATACACCACCCTAAACCATATAAAGTACTGCCTTCCCAACGGGGATAGTGGAATAATTCGAACACTTGACGTTCCAATTTACATAACCAAGGTTTCTGGAAATACAATCTTTTGCCTGGATCGTGATGGGAAGAATAAGACTATAGTCATTGATGCTACAGAATACATTTTCAAGCTCTCTCTGCTTCGAAAGAGATATGATCATGTTATGAGTATGATAAGAAACTCCCAGCTTTGTGGTGAGGCCATGATTGCTTATCTGCAACAGAAGGGGTTCAGTGAAGTAGCGCTTCATTTTGTCAAAGATGAGAAAACACGCTTTAAGTTGGCTATAGAGAGTGGGAACATTCAAATTGCTGTTGCATCGGCTAAGGAGATCGATGACAAAGATCATTGGTATAGGTTGGGTTTGGAGGCCCTTCGCCAAGGCAATGCTGGTATAGTTGAATATGCCTACCAGAGGACAAAGAACTTTGAGAGGTTGTCTTTTCTTTATCTCATAAATGGTAACCTGGAAAAGTTGTCCAAGATGCTGAAAATTGCCGAAGTTAAGAATAATGTTATGGGTCAGTTTCACAATGCTCTGTATCTTGGTGATATCCGAGAACGTGTTAAGATCTTGGAGAATGCTGGTCACTTGCCTCTTGCTTATGTTACAGCATCAGTACATGGGCTACAGGATGTTGCAGAAAGGCTGGCATCCGAGTTGGGAGATGATGTCCCTCCTTTGCCAGAGGGGAAAGAACCTTCCTTGTTGATGCCTCCGGCCCCGGTTATGTGTGGTGGTGACTGGCCCCTTCTGAGAGTCATGAAAGGAATATTTGATGGTGGATTAGATAATATTGGCAGGGGTGCTGTGGATGAAGAGGAAGAGGATGCAGGAGGTGATTGGGGTGAAAATCTTGATGTGGTTGACGTTGATGGCTTACAGAATGGGGATGTTACTGAAATTTCGGAATATGGGGAAGTGACTGAAGAAAATGAAGAGGAAGAGGGTGGATGGGACCTTGAAGATTTGGAACTTCCTCCTGAGGTAGACACCCCAAAGGTTTCTGGCAGTGCTCGATCTATTTTTGTGGCACCAACTCCTGGTATGCCTGTAAGTCAGATTTGGATTCAGAAATCATCTCTTGCTGCTGAACATGCAGCAGTTGGTAATTTTGATACAGCAATGCATTTGCTGAGCAGGCAACTTGGCATAAGAAACTTTGCTCCTTTGAAATCCATGTTTCTTGATCTTCACGCAGGCAGCCATAGCCATATTCGTGCATTTTCATCTGCACCAGTGGTATCCTTGGCGATTGAGAGGGGATGGAATGAGTCTGCTAGTCCTAATGTGAGGTGTCCACCTGCCCTTGTGTTCAATTTTTCTCAGTTGGATGAGAAGCTGAAGGCTGGTTACAAGGCCACTACTGCTGGGAAATTTACTGAGGCTCTTCGGCTCTTCCTCAGCATTCTTCACACAATTCCACTGATTGTTGTGGAGTCAAGGAGGGAAGTTGATGAAGTCAAGGAGTTAATTATTATTGCTAAGGAGTATGTTCTCGGTCTGCAAATAGAGATTAAACGAAGAGAAATGAAAGATAATCCAGTGCGACAACAGGAGCTTGCTGCATACTTCACCCACTGCAACCTTCAAATGCCTCACCTAAGACTTGCTCTGCAAAACGCAATGGTTGTCTGCTCCAAGGCAAAGAACTGGGCTACAGCTGGTAACTTTGCCAGGCGACTACTAGAAACAAGCCCCACGAATGAGAATCAAGCAAAGGCTGCAAGGCAAGTGCTTCAAGCTGCTGAGAGGAATATGACAGATGCCGCCCAGCTGAACTACGATTTCAGAAACCCATTTGTGACATGTGGGGCAACTTATGTGCCGATTTACAGAGGACAGAAGGATGTATCTTGCCCGTATTGCACTGCTCGCTTTGTGCCTAGCCAGGAAGGGCAATTGTGCACGGTGTGTGATCTTGCAGTGGTCGGGGCAGATGCTTCAGGATTGCTATGTTCTCCTTCGCAGATACGATGATGATGAAGCTGCAGAAAACTGGTACTCCTTTTGAACTTTCTCTTGCTCATCATTTTATCTTTAAAATCAACCCCATCGACCAATAGATAATTAAATATATTCATTTTAAAGGTCAGATTACTGAAGAAAAAGTTGGGAACCAAGTTATTTTGTCTGTGCTATATTTCCAATCCTTTGCCCTTTTGTTTTATATGTATTCCTCTGAATAGAGTTCAGTATGATATTTTCAAATGTAAGAATGAATTTGGAATCTGTAGCTTTGAGGCTATTCTTTTTTTTTTGTTGTTTCATAGACGGAGAATAATAGAATAGTGATGGAGGCCTTGCTAAATGCTTTATATATATATATATATATGCATATATATGTCATATCTTAGGGTTGATTTATGCACGATGTGATTTTCATTACTCTGGACTTCGGATTCGTTGCCACTAGACCTGTCCATTGGGCTGGTGGGTTGTAGTTTGGTTCCAACTTTTCATGCCCAATATATATTTTTATAATTAATTCCTCTCTGCATTACGTCATATTTCGTCGATGGATTCATTTATTTTTAGTTCCTTGTGTTCCATATTTAATTATTTATTTTACGTCATAGTCAAACACAAATTCCGTACACCCTTTAATTGACACGTTCCACTGAAGACAACCAACTAATCTTTTGGCAAAAAATAAAAATAAAAAAACCTTACGACATCCTTAATATACGGTTAAAGAAAGACATTATCGAAAATGTTATTATTTTTTTTTAACATTTCTTGTAAAAAAAATACCTAAAACATTATTTTTTACCTAAAATATTAATGTTTTTTAACATTTCTTGTAAAGTGCCTAATATTAACATTTTCGATAGAAAAAATAATATTTTAGGTAGTGTTTTACCGGATATGTTAACAAACCCGGTAAAGCATCCAATAATAATATTTTCGGTAGAAATAATAATGTTTTAGGTAATTTTTTATTGAAAAGGTTAAAAAGATAATAATATTTTGGGTAGTGTCTTTTCTAATTCGTATATTAGATTATCGCACGGTATACTTTTCCTCTTAATAATGATGGGGAAATAGCAAATATTGAAGTCTTAATATTGTCTACAGGCTCTCATGTCCTTGAGATAGGATTCCACTCTGCAATCAGCACCCTTTCAAACACTCCACTTATATAGGGTAAGATTCACTTAAAATCCGGGTAGATTTTTAATTTTATATAGATTTAGAATCGTTAAATGTAAATGTAAATAGATGATTGAGATTAAAAATTGATGCATTTATATTATCCATCTCTTTCTACCCATATATTTTCATTTTTAATTTCTAAAACCAGTCATCTATATTTATTCAGTAATTTTAAATTAGTATAAAATTGAAGTTACCATGGAGGAGGGCCATGGAAGTACAAGCTGTGGTGCTATCTGCCAGGTGTCGAGCAATTGAAGTAAAGGTTAGATTGGGGCCAAATCCAAAACCTTTAAGACCAGGAGGAGGTAAGGGAATGGTGGACTCGGCACCCCCCAACTGATTCATGAATTATAAACAGTTAATTTCGTACCCCAACTTTACTTGATACAAAAGATGTGACGTGCATCACTGAAAAATTTTGCCAACCACAAACGAGATTCAAAAGTTAGTCATCAGTCAACATTGCCCTGTCTTTGATTCTATTTCCTTTCGGAAAAGAGATTTCATGGCATGAACTTACAAATTTTGATCCAAATTTATCTATTTGAGACTAACTTTTTAGTTTAAATGGATATTTGATGTTTCATTTTATAATCATATTCGGTTCTTCATTCGATTAAAAATCAAGCTTGAAACCAAGACTCAAAATTGCATATAAAATCAAGTAAACCTACAATTACTCATTCGAGAGATCATGCATGTTTTCGTCTCCTACACTACACTGCTCTTCATTTCTTCATATCTAAATCCAGGATTAACTCAAAAACGAAAATCACTTGATGGTTTGGAGCCTAATGAGAATTATTTGGCAATGAAATGATGGCTTTAAAATCATTCTAAATAGAAAATCTCGGTGTGCTTTTAAGAGGTGGGGACTGCCTTTGAAATTTGAAGCTTGGGAAGAAGAGAAAAGGATAAAGCATTTCAAGCTTTTACATATAAATTAGTACTACTATTTGCTTTCATGTCACTCTGCATTGCTCGTCGTTTTCATTACCTTTCCTGTATCTCCCAAACAGTTTGTCTTTTGGCTTTGTTGGACCTTACTCTTTTCAATTTAATAATTATAATTTTTAATTCAACTCCATAATCCAATAGATTAATCATCAAATCAGATAAAAAGTTATAGGTCCATAGTTATTGGTTTACTTTAAAGAAAAGTATCCCATATTTTAATCATGGACCAAAGGTGAAGTTATAGGTTGATGGATCCTTAATTGTTGGTTTAAGGGTAGTCCGTACATATAGAATTTTATGCACTTAATGTGGGCTGAAGATTTTATCTCTGGGGTGGCAATCGAATTTTTCTTCTTCCATATTATGGATAGCAGCAAAGGCACCCACAAGTGTCATTTCCCAGAGACCGACAAAAGCCAAAAAGACGTGTAAGACAACCATTGTTCTTCACGTTGTCCATACGACTCTAAATGCAGAAACAGCTCATCCATCCAATTAAAATAAATAAATACCTAGTTTGTGAGGGTTACATTCTCAATCTAATTTGTTCCATTCGTAAATATCAAGGTTCAAATTCTTGAACTTACTTAACAGATCTAGTGTCTCATCCCACTAGACCAACTGGTTGTTGATAGTTGGTTTTATTCTAATTCTATAAGAGGTCAATGCGACAACTAATTTCATGGCTGAAATAATCAATTCACAAGAAGACTCACTCATGGTTTAATGCTTTTTGGTTGTGGAAGAGTGTTGTTCAAAGCTGGATGGAAGAGAATGTGTTGGGTGAGTTTGCTAGGAATTTAATGGTTTTGAAAGTTAGGGATGGTCTTTCAGGCATGACGTTTGGATTAGAAGGGCATCTTTAAAGGATAGGTTCCCAAGAATATTTGTTTTATATGTTAAGAAAGGGGGGAATTCAGACTTTGGTTTGTTCTATTTTTTAACTTGGGTTTGGGATATTAAATTGAGGAGGAACTTGGCGGATTGGGAAGGGGATATATGGATTGAATTACTGCATTTACTGGAATCTGTGTGTATTGATAAGAGGCGAGATGACTGTTTATTATGGAAAGGAAGTGGTGATGGGGTTTTTTCGATTAGGTCCTGTATTAAGGGTTGGTACGAGGTGTTGGAGACTAATTATAAATGGGGTAGAATTGTTTGGAGTGGTCTTGTTCCTCTTAGGGTGGAAGCTTTCCTTTGGCAGGTTATGCACCAAAAGTTAGCTGTTAAGTGTGAGTTATTGAATAGGAATGTTCCTGGTATTGTGGACAGTTTTTGTTTGTTATGCGGGTTACTTCCTGAATCAATGTCACATTTGTTCTTCACCTGTTCTGTGTCATGGGAGTTGTGGTGCAGGTTTTTGCGCTTTTGGAATGTTCGTTCCCCTCTACATTTTGCTCTTGATTTTTTCTTGCACGCTTGGTGGGGTTTGGTTGAGAAATCAGAAATCTGGAAATTTATTCCTGGTGTTATGTGTTCTATTTGGAAATATAGGAACATGTTAGTGTTTGAGGGGGGTCTAAGGACCAGATTAATCTTTTTTTCGAAACTAGATAGAAACTGGTGGCCTGGTTCTCTGCTAAACACACTGATTTCTCTATTCTTTCGATTGTTTAATGGGGATCTTTCTGTTGCGGATATGAGGGCAGACAGGGGAGTAAGGTGTTATCTCGGACTGCTTGGGTTTCGCCTCCTTTTGGTTTCTTTAAATTAAATGTGGATGATGTTGTCACTGGTGATTGGTTGTAAGGGGACGTTGAAGGCACTATTAAAGATTCAGGGGTATTCTATTGGGTTCTTTCTCAGATGCAATTGGATAGGGACCGCCTACAGTTGCTGAATTGTTGGAGGGGATTGAACCTTTTTTTTAGTCTCAATGGGGTAGTAAGGGGAAGTTAATTGTTGAGAATGATTGCCTAGTTGTGGTTAAGTGGATAAAGAACCTGGGTGGTTGTCTTAATTCTGAGTGTTCACTGTTGAATGAAATTATTGAGTTAATTAGGGATAAGGATGTGAAGATTTTGCATATTTTCAGATGAGCTAATTGAGAGGATGATAAGTTAACAAAGTAGGGAATAAGGTGAGTGGGGTTGTGTGTAAGCAAGTTAGGTTAGTTTCGGGGGGGGGGGGGGGGGGGTTTGTATTGTTATGTTTAGTTGCTGTTAGGTGTTTTATTTTTACTATGTTGTATTATTGGTTGTTCAATAAAATTTAATACTTTTTCCTCCTTCCAATGTCATACGAAATATCCATATTTCGTAAGGTATGAAGGGATTTTTTAATGAGGTATCGCTTTCGGATAAAAAAATCAATTAACAATGAAATTAGGACGAATTACATTTAATAGAGGTACAGTAAAATTTTATCTATAATTTGAGACATTTGTTGTAGTTGACCGCACACGACACAAAGAAAAAAAATCTGACCCCATAACTTGAGAGAGAATCTGACAATATAATAACACACCTCAGCACAACATTCCTTGGCCTCCAATTCAACATCGCCTTACTCTTCGGTGTCCCATGAGAGACCAAAATGAAGATCCTCCTTTTACTAGTTTCACAGAGAAACCCCATGAAATTACACTAGCTATGAAGTCCAAAAATCATATATAAAATCCCAACAAGATACATAAAACACCACCAAACATCGATCGAAGAAGGTGCAAGATCTCAGACTTTGGAAACTGGAAATCCATCCCCAAAGGTTTTCTTTTAGTGTTTAAATGAATGATGATGTCGAGGCAAGAAGGCAGCACGAGGTGTGAAGAGTGCGGCAATAAAGCCAAGAGAGATTGTGGGTTCATGAGGTGCAGGACTTGTTGCAGAAGCAAAGGATTCGAATGCCAAACTCATGTCACTAGCACTTGGGTTCCTTCCTATAGACGGCAACGAAGGAACCCACAGATCTCTTCTGTTTCACCAAAAAGGCTAAAAGTGGGGATTTTCCGGCAGAAGTGACATCTCCGGCGACGTTTCGATGTGTTCGAGTCAGCTCCGCTGAAGATGGAGGCAATCAGTATGCTTATCGGACAAGTGTGAATATTGAAGGGCATGTATTCAAGGGTATTCTGTATGATCAAGGCCCTCATGAAGCAGTAGGCGAGTGCTCCTCTAGAGAAACACATTTGCAGCCGAATCATATGGATGTTGGTGCTTTAACAAT